AGAATCGACAAGATATTTCACATGGGATTCATCTTCTTCATAGTTTATCTTGAGAATCTCCCAGGCTTCTTTAGCAGTAGTGCAGATAGTTATCCTTTTGAGATCATCCTTGTCTACTCCATAAAGTAGAGCATCCAGGACTTGGGAGTTTGCAGAAGCTAACTCGTTTTACGCTTTGGACCAATCATTCTTTGGCTTCAAGGACTCAATACCATATTTGTTTTTCACTATAGGATGACTCCATCCTTTCATCATAACCTTCCAAGATTTCCTGTTCATAGATTTTAAAAACACTACCCTATTATCTTTCCAAAAAATATAATCTTCATCCTTTAACATAGGTTGTTTATCGAACCGTTCACCTTTGTAATCCATAGTGCTAGAAAATATATATCCCTGAATTTCACCTAATAACCAGAATAGGTTGTTTGCTCTTAATGCCAATTGAAATTCTGGAACAAACACCAAATATGTCAAGACTGGTGTCTCAACGTACAAGCAATGTCATGGCAGATGTTATAACATCCGCTAAAAGAACAACAACAATAATAACAATACAAAAATATAAGTTGCAGAAAGATAAAGAACACAATGATATATTAACCCAGTTCGATGCTAACTCACCTACTTTGGGGGCTATTAAGCTAGGAAGAAAATCCATTATTAGCAGTATTAATTCGAAGCTAAACTAGTCCCACGTTTACAACTTTTCTCCTAATCCATACCCAGTGCGATTACTACCTATTTTTCTAGATATGAGAACCCACTCACTTCCAACCACCGCAGTGATAAGAACTCCCAGTCACAGGGAAAAACAATTCTAGTCCCAGGAACTATCACGATACCAAAACAGGAAGAACACACTTCCAAGTTACAAAACCCCAGTCTTGCTTAAAAGCTTTGACCAAGAACAATACTCAACTCTTGCTTCACAGCTTTTAGGAGAACAATAACTTGACAAACATTCAATTACAATCAGTTAACTCAAATGTATCAGAGATACATGAGGACGTACAATAAAATAAAAACTTCCTTGAAGAAGACTCAGACCCCAAGAGTGGGAAAATATGGTTTCTCCTTATTTTCAGATTTCTCGATGATATTAGATCTAGGTAGTTTCTTTAAATACTCCACAGTAATCCTTGGGCCTTGCAGCTGCTCCCAAATATACCTTGTTGTCCATGCTGAGGGTTGCATAAATTTGTGCAGGAAAATCTCCATGAATCTTGGAACAAACACAAAGTTTCCTAATTAGTCTCAATCAACCAATTATAGCAACCTGTGCACAACTGTAGATTTATTTGTTCTAGATTTATAATTCTTGACCTACGATAAATCAGTGAGATATAAACAACTTAAATCTCATATAATTAATTAATGATCTGACAAGAAGAAACCAAACTGCAGTACCAGCTGCATCAGACCAAGATGTCATGACATTGTCTTCGACATCTGGCTGAAAAACACATAACATCAAACCTATTATAGAAAACCATGTTTTAGTAAAAAGTATGCCAATACACAAATCATGGTAATAACAAAGTCATGTATCGACACGTGTAATGATATGCGCCGACCTGTTTAAGGTCATGTGTCGACACAACGAAGCAGAGGCTTACTGGCTTTAAAAATGAAGTACATGTCTCTACCTGAAGCACGTATGTGTCGACACATAGATGAAAAATTCTAGCATGTGTAGACCTAAAAGGCTAGTTTGTCGATGCATAGTTATAGAATCTACATGTTTCATTATTGGTCCACATGTGTCGACTCATACATCGTATGTGTCTATATATGGACTTATTTTTCATGTAAAGACTCATTTTTAATGTATTGTACCTTTTCCAAACATGATCTAAATGCATTCTAAGACCCTTAATATAAAGATGTACATAAAAACTCAGAGATACCGTTCAATATACAGAAATAATAAGTGAAATTTCTTTGGTAGAGGAAACACATGGAAATACTCATATTCCAACATCAGAATAATGTCAAGACAGATGTTACAATATCTGATTTGACATCTTGAATAAATTTATCAAGTTATAACAGATACTGAAACTTAAACTGCAGAATGATAAATAACACATAGAGTTGTTAACCCAGTTCGGTGCAACATCACCTACGTTGGGGGTTGCCAAGCCAGGAAGAAAGTTCACTATCAACAGTATTAGTTCAAAGTTAAACAACCATATTTAAAAATTTCTCGCATAATCCCTATCTAATGCAACTTCAACCTAGGCACCTCCTAGATATGAGAAATCACCATCTCACTTCCTAAATCACTGTAGTGATATCTAACAGTCTCAATCCCAATGACTGTATCGAGTATAACTCAATCAGAAGATCATACTTCCATTACAATACTCAGTCAAGACTCTTGACTAAGGACAATACTTGGATTTGCTTAAAAGCTTCATCCAAGAACAATACTTATCTCATTGCCTAAAGGATTCTAAGTGAGAACATATTGTCGACCACAAGTATCAAAAGATACAAGGGTGACTTACACCACACAATACACAAGAGACTCTAAAAACCTAAGACTATTTTCCTTTCCCCTAATTTTATAATAGTTGAAAGTTCTAATTACATTAGGTTAGGTATTCTCTTTAAATACACCTGTGTAGTCCATGAGCTTCAAATTTTGCATCAAGATATTTCTTGATCCACAAGCTGAGTGATGCACCAATTATGTAGCAAATCTCCTTAAATCTTGAAACAAACAATACAAAGTTTCTTAAATTGTCTAAAGGCTAAATTTAGTAATTAATGTACAGCTGGAGATATAAAACATGTTCCAGATTAAATCTTCTTGACCTGCGAAATTTACTGAGATATATCCAAAGGAAATATAACATAATCAAATAAAATCTTCCAAGATTTAAAACAGCAGCGCATGTTGTACCAGATCAAGATGTCATGACATCTACTTCGATATCTGGCTGAAAAACTCATAACATCAAACTTGTTATGACAGTTGATAAAAATGCTGCAACATCTTAACCAACATCAATATAGAACCATGTTTTATCAAAATTATGTCAACCCTAAAATCGTGGAACTAACAATAAGATTACTCTAGTTTTGACATCATGCAAAACATCTAATGGGTAAATGCACTCACAGGCAGTGCATGAGACAATTAAATGGATGTCGTACATGCCTAAATTTAATGTAGAAATTTGGATTGCATACAACATTAGTATTTTTTCCTTTTATACAAAATCAAAATATGATTATAGTACAATTAATGCAAAATAATAGGGTTATGGTTGAGGCCGAATCCATGTACTTTTCTAGTTCGAAAGATAAGAATCATATAATGGAATCTAAAACGTAGTTTAAAGTCATTAAGGAGATTTAGGAGATTGATTATGTTTTATTCAAAGTGTGTTTATTAAATGCAAGTGGATTGACAATAACACTGGTGTACAAACTGGTGAGTTAGGATTCACACGAGTTGATCTTAGCAAGACAACTTATATGATCAAACAATTCATCACGACATCTCTAGCAAAACAAATATTTTATGTCACTGATCATTCTGATAAAAAAATGGTTAATTATTTTCTAAAGAAAACACATTCCTCGTAGCGATGAAATCATGATTTGAAATCTGATATTCCAGTGACTCCTTATGCAACACATGTGCCTAATTCTTATGAAAAATTTAATACAGGTGATCTCCATGTTATTCGTTAAGTTCATTAAGAAGGCATATATGAAAACTAACAAGTAAATTTTTTTTTTGTTTCTTCATAATTTATTGTATGTTATAATTTGTAAGTGTTATATACTAACAAATCTTATTATTTAAAATTATAGGTGTTTAGAGACACTACGTCAAAAGACGTCTCCGACCACATAGTGAATCTTAATTATTTTTTTAAAAAAGAAGAATGTATTGCACGTTACTTTTGTATGTTGATAGGTTTCTTATTTGATGTAATGATATGTTAATTGTACGTTATTTTGGTGCTATTTTAATTTTGATGTAATATAATTTTTTATTCTTAATAATTGTTAATTTATTTTGATTCACAGATGTATTATATTGTTGTTTCTAGTCTGTTTCTAATTACACAAAAATATAAATTAAAAAAATAAGAATTATGTAAAATCTAAAAATATATATTTTAAAAAATAAAATATTTCACCACAGTTAATTCTTGCAACCATAATAATATCTAACGCGATATCCAATTAATAAACACCTTCACACAATATTATTGGATATCGAATCAATGATCTTTCAACTTTTTATTAGGATTATTTATTTCAACCGTAATGATATATAACACGCCATAATCCATAATAGTAAATATCTTATTTACTACAATTCTCATATCTTATTTACTACAATTCTCTACTTTATCACATATAATCAGTCGTAACTAAATATCTATTTTAACCATTATAAAGAATATATTTTATAGTAAGGAAATCTAATTATCAGACTCATTCTCCAACATATATTTTAATCAAATAGTGGTATTGACCACTAAACTGATAATTTTTTTTTTTTGATAAATCATCCTTATACATTTAAGTATTTGGTTATTGATAAAATTAATTTTTATGATCTTAGTATTTTAAGTTGGGTTCTAAAATAAACATAAATAAATGATATTTGTACACAAACTTTGACATGACATCGTATAAATATATAATTTTACTTTTTTTTTTCTTCAATAAATATTCTCTTTCTTCAAGTGATGCTAATAAATAAATAAAATGACATTAACTCGGATTTTGAACATTCCTATACAATAAAAAATTCAATAGTTAAAAAAAAGTGTAGCAATGTAAGCTATGCAAATGAAGACCCTCTATTGCTTAACTTAAGTGCTCAAAATAATGTAGTATTAATAGTTGATTAGTATTATTCCTTGGTTTTTGCCTCACCTTGGTTAATGTGGATGGATGGTTCAATTATTAACGGTGGAACAAGTGTTTCTTGTTTTAGAGTCTTTTGCATACAAGTGTACTCAATCTTAGGCTTCAAAATTTGTTTGAGTAAAAGTTTCAAAATTATTTCTACTAAACTTTAAAAGAAACACACCTTTAATAATTTTTAACTTAAATCTCAATTTCAAACACCAACAATTCAACATCAACCAAAAGGGATAATAATATATTAATAACAAATAACAAAATTTAATTAATTTACAACAAAATGTATAAATAATGAATATTCTACTAATATTCCTATCAAACTTTTCCCAACCGTATCTATACCGACAACATCTCCAACCACACCAACTTCCACTTCCACCTATAATGCTGTTCCTGCGGTTGCGGTTGTACTTACACTGATTACAACACTCACGCCACCACAACAACCTCCACATTTCCCGTTTTACCCTTACATCAGAATCTGAACATTCCAAATTAGTCTCCATTTCCTCTACTACCCTCACTACATTCTCCAATTCCGATATTGTCCCTGATACTTCATCCCCAAACTCTTCTTTCTCTGTAGTTGCTGACTCTTCTTCAGAGGAAATTGCCCTCACCACCACCCAATCTTCTGTTTCCCAATTTACCCTGGAACCAGAATCTAATTTACTAATTCTATTTTTAACTAAATTTGTATCAAAATTCAACTGTATATCTTCGAACTCGTTTTCCGACTCAGTGAATCGCGCGTCAACCCAATCCAAAACACACCGAGGCGACGATTCCACCACACTATCGCATGATAACAAAAATGGGTGATGTAGCAGCTGATCACAACTCCATCTCCGGCTCCGATCTCTCCTCAAACACTTCTCGAGAAAATCTCTCCCGAGCTCCGAGAAACCGTCAGGAAACTCCGGAAGTTCATCGGAAAATCCAATTCGACTCAGTGTATCGGAACCCCGATCCTCCCACGGTGATTTCCCGGAGAAAATCTCAATCACGGTACATCCAAGCGACCACACGTCAGATTCCGGTCCTTGATACTCCCTCCGAATCACCTCCGGTGCCATCCACAACGGACTTCCACGCGGCGAAAAACATTCTCCACATGAAAACTCCATCGCCGATCCGAAATCAGCGAGCTTAGCAACGGAACCGGCAACGAGAACATTCTTCCCCTTAACATCGCAGTGAACAACTCCACGCGCGTGAACATCCCTCAGCGCGTGAACCAAACACCACGCGAAAGTTCTAACTAACCGTTCATCCACGTCAGCACGACCCAAGTCAGCGACGGTGCCACCTGGCATGTACTCTAAATGAAGATTCTTAAACGACGACGTTCCTTCACCCTCGCACGTGACATCATCGCCGAGATAAGATATCACGTGACGAGAAGAACCAGAAGATGATAACCGTTTCAATATCTCAATCTCATTCTCCAACGCTTGTAACTGATTCGGAAGCGCTGTTTTAGTATCAACAGACTTCACAGCGAAAACTGTAGAATCGCGTTTTGAATAAGCTATATTCACAACGCCAAACGCGCCCTTACCAATACACTTTCCTCTCACCCATGAATCAGTCTTAGCCATTGTGCTTTGTGTGTAAAAAAATTTGAACTTTGTTATGTGTTTGTTTGATTTTTTTGAGGACATGAAAGAGGTATATACACATGTATATATATACACATGTAGTGCGTGTTTGTTCTTCTAACATTCGGTGTTACGTGTTTTCGAAATTTATTGTTTTTTATTTAAATAATGTTTTTATTACAGCGTGGAAAAAATGAAAGTGGATAATTAAGAAAAGCGGTGGTGGTGACGTTGAGATGAGATCGTGAAGCACGGTAATGTTTTTAACGTTAAATGGAGAATTCTTGGAACAGAGGACTTGATACTGTTTTTTTCTTATGGGATTGGACTTTTGATACTTATCCATGGTTTTCTTAAGATTAAGATCCTCTTTTTTATTTTCATTTTAATGTTACTAGTAGACAATCATTGGATAAGTACTTGGGATTTTTTTATGTAATTAGGTGAATCTTCTGTGTAAAAAAAAAACACTAAATTTAGGTGACTTTAGACATTAAAGTTAGACGAAAATGTTTGTAGTTAAAAGTGTGTCTGATTGTTCGTAATATATTTTAAAATTTTAATATGTGTCGTCTGTTTTGGATTTTAAGTTGTGTAAAAGTAAAAAAAAAATGGAAAAGTATGTGTCCTAACGATATAAATTAATAAATTATTTGTAAAAATATTTTTTAAAATAAATATATATTTTTAATTATAAAATCTTTAATAACTGCTTTTAAAGAGATGTTAGTATGACACAAAAAATATTATAAATATATAATAATGGTCAATTTTATTTGATCGTATAAAAATTCAACCGTTTAAATTAAAATTAAAATTTTAAAAGTAAAAATATATAACTTTTAATATAAAAAGTAATGAAACAATTCTTAATCAAATTTTAAATTTGAATTATATGTTAATCAAATTTTAAAGAGAAATGTTAATTTAAGATACTTAGATAAAAAGTTGCTTTCAATTTAATTAAAATTTTATATTTGAAATTATTGCTTTTATAAAACAACATTGTTATATTATTTTTGCAATAATTTATAAAAGTGGTTGAGAATAATAAATGAAAGGTGTATGAATATTCATGTTATGAGTTAGATATGTCATTTTTCTTATAGTTTGCTTCGTGTTATTCATGAAAAATGGAAGGTAAACGTCATATTACGTTATGGTAAAATCATATATATAATTGATCTTTTGTGTGCAATTACTTTAGCTGTTAATTTATAGTTGTGAGAAAGATGCACGATAAATTTGATAGAGTTTGTTGTCTTTGCATCCTTGACGTCGTTATTAAAGCGTGATGGTAGAATGCGATTGATTTTTATGGGTTTTGTTTGGAGACGGTTGGTATCGAAGGTTGATATGAAATGGGTTGGTAAAGATATGACATGATATCTCTATGACTTCCAATTTTGGGTCTGGCATTGAATGGGGTTGAGTTCATTTTAAACAGTGCCAACAAGGTGTTAAACAAGCGATATGAAAATGTTTTTTTTGGCTATGTTCATAGTAGATTTTCCAAATGATTTCAACATGGTAGATCGATTAGCCCTTGTATGTGAGGTGAAGGTGAAATGTATATCTATTTTTTAGTGGTTTGAATTTATTTATGATCAGAAAACCAAATTGTACCTTGGGGTGAATATATTATGTCAGCCACTGAAGTGCAATAAGGTGACGCGTTAGGAAAGTTCTTTTTTGCTCTTGTGTTACACCCATTCATTCATCAAATTAGAGATAATTGCGAGCTTCTTCTTCATGCATGTTATCTTGATGATGAGATCATCATAGGAGATTCAGAGGAGGTTGCTAAAACATTTGACAATGACCGGGAGACGAATCCAGGATTAGGTGTCGAATTGAATATTCGTAAGACTAAGATCTTTTAACCTTTTTGTGACGGTAGCAAATTCTGTGGAGGATTGTTTTCTTTAGATATTGGGAGGTCGATGTTGGGGATGTAGTTCCTTGGAGAGGTTACTAACCGAGATAAAGGATTTATCAAGGTGTTCTCCATGAAGATAGTTGTTATTGAGTTAATGCCCCTTCTGGGATATCTACGAGATTTTTAAAGTAAGCTTATTCTACTTCGATCCTGCTAGGGTATCCATGAATTATTTTATGATGTAAGAACATGTCAACCTAATCATATGGAAGAAACAACTATTTGACTTGATAAAGAGTTGCAAATGGAGGTTGAAGACATCATGCTTGGTGATGGTCCTTTCTTCGAAAATATTCAACGGAGGATGGCTTCTTTTCCCTTTAGAGTTGAAGGATGACTTTATACTCTGAAGTAGAGGTTGCTGATATGGACTGGGCCAATGCTTGTTTCGCCGTTGGGGAGGCCCAATCCAACACATTTGCATAAGACCCAAAGGCAAGCAACCCAAGTTAGGGACCGTTGGGCAACTCCCCACGTGTCCATTAGGAAACATATCCCACGTGTCCATATCATCATCATCATCATCATCATGTCCTCCGAGAATAACAGGTTCAGCTCCTGCTTTCTCGGGGACGTTGATCAGGGGGGACGCCACATGTTGGACTCCATACACACGTAAGCCCTGGAAGTCTTCATTGTTGGGCATCATTGTGATCCAACATTGGAGACTTTGGCCCAGCACTGGGGGCTATAAATATCCTCTCACTTGAGAGGATCGGGTATTAAATCATTCACAATCTCATACTCTCTTACTTGCATTAAGCTCTGAACCTCACTTTGACATCAGAGTGTCTTGCAGGTATACCCACACTTCACCTTCAACAGCTGCTCAACTCGAAGCTTGTGGGCTTTGACAATCTATTCTGGTCAGATACGATCAGTTGTCTTATACGCTTTCGAGACTTCTAGACCAATCTTGAGTGTTACAGGATCATACATTAAGAAATAGTGAGATATATGACATGGACTCTGATTCCGACATAACTTTGGAAGATCTTAGTGTTGAGATTCCAAACTTTGCCTTAGCAGTTTTACTAACAAAGACATCATTTATCCTAAAGCACGTCATATTTTAGTGAGTGTCCTTTTTAGTAAAAGTGTTAAGGACATCGAAGTAAAGTTTGATATGAACATAAGACTAAAAGTAATATTTGGTTGTGTGCAAGCAACACGTGCTCAAGATTTTCTATTTACTATTACTATTAATGTGCTAGGCCAACCCATATCATCGGTAGAGTATCATTAGACGACGTCTTACAATTGTGTTATTTTTTATTGATGAAGTTTGTCTAGTTTGTAGCAAGACGTGTTTAGATATATTCGAGGAACACACCATTCTTTATAAGGAGCTTTTAGACTTCAAATATCGACATCACTTTGTTAGAAATATTCTATTTGACATATTTTAGCGGATCAAAGTCTGTGTAAAGAAAGAAGCGTCTGTAAATTTCTTAATTGATACAAGAGAGGAGATTCACACTTAGGTCAATATATATTCTAATGTACGAGTGAGTAGAAGAAAAACATACATATATGACTTGACTGAAATTTTCTCACAAATAAAACAGAAAATTTAATATATGACTTGACTGAAATTTTCTCACAAATAAAACAGAAAATTTAAAATTTTACAAGTGATTAAATATAAAAAAGCGTATTCTGCCCATCAATATATTTATATATCATCTATTTTTTTATAAAACTTCTAACCATCTTTTTATAGAGTTAAAAAACTTCACTCATAAAAAGTGTTCTGTTTATTAAACCAATCAATATAATTTTCAACAAAATTGATTTCACCAAAAAATTATTTTCTATTTGACTTCTATTTTGGTAAAAAAAATCATTATAAATAAAGACTTTTGATAATTATTATTTGAGTTCATTGATGGATTTTTCTGTTGAAGGGGTGTTCGGTATTTATTAATTACCCAGCAGTGTCCATTAATTTTATTGATAATATACAGTTGGTCCTATTGCGTAGGAATAATAATAATAATAATAATCCAACATGTGGTTGGAGTGTGGAATGTGAGCTTTATAGTTGAGAGGTGGATGTTACCAGTTCGTTAATCCAACGTAACACCGTGGCGGTAGTAGGAACATACTAAAATATAATTAGGTAACAGCATCCACGTGGCAAAAATTTATTGGTCCACGAATCATTAAGACATTACTAGATCCTTGTAATTTAAATAAATTCAAAGATTTTTGAAGATGTACATCATGATGCTTATATGTGACTCTATCCACACAAAATTTAGTTAAACTACAAGTATATGACGTGCACCCCTACACTTCCACCAAATAATTTTTTACTAAAATATTTTTGAGATTTTTATTCTTATTTTTATTTGGTTCTAAATTTGGTAAATTTGTTTGTATGTGAAGTTTTGGATTTTTTTGGTAAGGTTCTTAAAATCAAGTCGTATCTTTTAGAAGATATTGGAAATTCTCTTTGGTTTGTGTTGTGGCAAATTTATTGGAACAATTTGGCATGATGTTTCTTATTTCCTTATTAAGTATTTGATATTTTGACACCTTACATAACCGTACTAGAGCATTCTTGGTTTGGGATATGAATTTAAGATAAGGTTTTTCTTTAAATATTGATTTGCCTAATTCAGCCTAAATTATAATATGAAATAATACCGATTCTCATGATTAATTAAATGTAATACCTCACTATAAACGGCAAAATTATGCATTTGTGGAGGAGCATGCAAGATTATTTAAAATAATATCGGCAATTTAAATTTACAACTCATACACATTTTTTCCCCTATATTTCATTGCTTTTGGTAAATTATATTAATTGATATCAATATAAAATTTAAAAAATCAAAACTTTATTTTAAAATAATATACATTAAACTATTTTTTTCAAAAATATTAAAACTCTTTTTTTTTTAATTGTTAATTTCAAAATATCAACAATTTATTTATATTAATATATAAATTTAAATAAATATTATCGGCATAAATTGAACTCTCCATTAATAATTTACGTTTACTTAATTCAACTACAATGTATTAGTTGAGAGTTTTTCTTTATTATTAA